CTCCTAAATCACTCGTACGCACAACTTAAGAACAAATCTGTGCGTACGAACGGTTCTTGCATGAGGCCCAATGCTCAGTTTCATAGAATTTTTATTTAGTATTACTTTTGTCAGATTCTAGTTATTTCTGTGACCACAGTGGGTTTTTCTTTGATTAAAGAGTGGTACCAACTTTGTCTACATGTGTATAWTTTTGAAGCTCTTGTGGGCCACATGAAATGCCATGGTGGCCCATATTTTGCCCGCATGCCTTGAGTTTGACACGTGTGTTAAAGTAGACTTGGTTTATTTTTTATCATCTTTTGCTACTTTAAGTGTTCATCTGCTTCTATTTTTAGTTTTTAGTTACATTTTTTTTATTTTAGCTACTTTCTGGTTTAAGCTTTAGCATTTGTTTTGCTAATTTTTTTGTTTTTACCATATTTTGCTAAGTTTAGCCACTGTTCTACATCTGTAGTCCACTCATTTTAGCTTCTGCTTGTTTTAACTTTAACAACTCAGTCTTTGCTGAAATTCAGCAGTCATTCATCAGTCATTCATCAGTCATTCAGCTTTCAGCATCTCTCCAGTCACTCGTACTTGCAGTTTCCTGACTTCAGGCAGGCAGGACTCTGTTCTGAATCTGCAGTGTGTGAGGAGCCATCATGGCTGGTGTGTGTGTCCTCAGATCAGATACTGGCGGCAGCATGAACGGGAGGCAGCAGCAGACAGAGTGCGAACAGCGGGTCTTGAACCAACAGCCAGGGTGTCTGGTCTTCGGCCCAGCACTCGATACCATGTTGCTGTTCTGGCGTACAACAGTGCCGGCACCGGACCGCCTTCACCTCGCACCACCGTCACCACCAGAAAACCACGTACGTCCACAGAACCCTCACAGCCCAGAATCCTTCAGTAAAAATATCACAGGGACATTTTTATTGATACAGTCAGAAAAGTGTAACAAATGAATTCKAAGATTGAGCTTTAAGATTCATTATTTAATAGTTTTACTCTGTTAGTTTTGATTTTCTGTACAGCTATCTTACTTTTAACTGGGTCAAAACTAGTCAGAACCACTAGTCTGAAACCTCATCCCTAATCTTGCAGGATTGTTAGGTAACATGTTTCCCAATGCTCAGGGCCAAGCTGGGACAGAGTTGAAGGTAGTTTGTTAGGATGTAATTGGGAGTGGTGCCTTACATAATAAGTTAAAAATGTTTAGTTTTGTTTTCTGTAACGAGCGTCCTGCGTTATCAGGGTTTGATGAAGGACACACCAGCCTCTTCCTGGTTGTGATTGGTTCTGTTCTGTGTTGGAAAGTAAAAAACATATTTTTAGCTCTTCCTGAAGTCTTTAGATGTCTGGAAAAAGATGTTTTTAATGTCTCTTCCTGTTCAGATAAACTTGTTAAACCCTAACCCACAGATCCATGTTTTGAATGACACGTTTGTTCATTAAAGGTAGATCTAAAATAAAGATTAATGTTCAAACCACCTTAGATTAAATACGTTAATATAAAACTTCTACTGAATTTATTGTAACTGTTGATCATCTAATGCAGGACTTCAGTGTTTCTTGTTATTTCTTACATAATAAAAAAAACACCTTTTATTATCTGAACTCATATTATTTTTATACTTTTGATGAGTAAAGTCTTTCAATATCTACCTTCTGATTTCAGCTCCTAACCGCCCTCCAGCCAACGTGTCCTGGAGGATCCAGGGCTCAGCTGTAACCGTGAGGTGGGATCAGGTGACGGCCATGCACAATGAGTCAGTGGTTCTGGGTTATAAAGTGAGTGAGCTGAAAACACTGCAGTCACAGTCATGTAGGTGAACTGAAACTCTGTCATTGCATTCTGTAAAATATCTCCTGAACCCAAAACAGGTCTGTTCTTCAGTCAGAGCATCAGCTGCTTCAATTGTGCAGCATAAAACTGACCTCTGTGATAATCCTCTGAATCCCATTCTGATGTCAGAAAGGTCAAACACAGTGGTGGGCACCACTAATCCAAATATTAGTTTCACTAAAACCAAAATCACTGCACAAATTTCTTAGTTCTGCTAATGATAAAAAGCTAAATGAACAGAAAAATCAATGGAAGCTAAAACTAAACTGCTAATATTTAACATAYTGAYGTCTAGTCCAGGGTTTCTTAACCTTTTTGAYCTTAWGGGCCCAACTTGTTGAATCTAAACTGCCACTAGGCCCATTTAGATATTACCAATGAACTGATCAAAGAGACCATTTGCGTTAGAACCTGGGCTGGACAATATGGCTAAAATTTATTTTATGATATAACTACAAATTTTGGTCGATACAATATAATTTTGATATTAATATGAATAATAAAAATGTCAGAAAAACTACCAAGACCACCAATATTTACTGTACCTTCAAATCTGATGTCATTTAAGACATCTTTGATTTATAATATGATTAGTCAGAACAAAATGAGATATATCTCAGTTTACTTTGACTAATCATAATTTAACTGTTGATATAAATTTATTGCAGATATCTTAAATTGGAGCCTTCATACAACTTAATAGTAAATCTGACATCATTTATACAATTCAGAATGTAATCTGAGAAATCTCAAATAGATATTTTGCATAGTCAAAATATAATTAGAGATATTCTTTTTTAAGTAATGTCTAATTGTAAACTGATTTCAGATATTTGGAATGTAAATGTGTTAAAGCTGATTAAATGTTACAACGTCTTGGCATCTGTGTTTCACAGCATCTGTTTCGATTTACTTTGCTTGAGACAACTGCTGACAGAGACACGGTAATGTTTTAGGAAGAGGACTTAAACTTTTATGGTGCTTCATTTTCCTCCACTCAGAATGTTCCATAGAGTGGAACTTTATCAGACAGTGGAACTTTATCAGAGGGTGGAACTTTATCAGACGGTGGAACTTTATCAAGACGGTGGAACTTTATCAGAGGGTGGAACTTCATCAGGCAGTGGAACGTTATCAGACAGTGGAACTTTATCAGATGGTGGAACTTTATCAGACAGTGGAACTTAATCAGACGGTGGAACTTCATCAGACAGTGGAACTTTATCAGACAGTGGAACGTTATCAGACAGTGGAACGTTATCAGACAGTGGAACTTTATCAGACGGTGGAACTTCATCAGACAGTGGAACTTAATCAGACGGTGGAACTTTATCAGAGGGTGGAACTTCATCAGACAGTGGAACGTTATCAGACAGTGGAACTTTATCAGACAGTGGAACTTAATCAGACGGTGGAACTTCATCAGACAGTGGAACGTTATCAGACAGTGGAACTTCATCAGACGGTGGAACTTAATCAGACGGTGGAACTTTATCAGACGGTGGAACTTTATCAGATGGTGGAACTTAATCAGATGGTGGAACTTTATCAGATGGTGGAACTTTATCAGATGGTGGAACTTAATCAGATGGTGGAACTTTATCAGACGGTGGAACTTTATCAGACGGTGGAACTTTATCATATGGTGGAACTTTATCAGATGGTGGAACTTTATCAGACGGTGGAACTTTATCAGACAGTGGAACAGATCTGATGAGTTCCCTCTGAAGCTGAAGTTTATCAGACCTTTGATATCTGAACCACTTCTGCACCTCTGATTTACAGTCTTTCCTTTCTTAACTCTTTTTTCTGTTTCTTTTTGAACTCTGGATTCTTGTTCACCAACAGATGTTGAGCACAGTTTGGTGCAGATGTCCGCTGTGTTGTAGGCAGCTTGTTGTTAGCCTGGT